CCCACATTGATTACGTACATTCGGGAACCCTATGGATGCTGGGGCTAACTGCGCTTCCGAACACAGTGCCGCCCAGCTTGCTTAGCCATCCAAGACATAGTACCATCACGCTTGGAGGTGTCCAGGAACCTCGATCGGTAGCAGGGAAGTGACATCATGAATGTCGGTCGCTAAAGCCTATGAACCCTATAAAGCCCTATAAGCCCTAGTCTAATTATAACGAATTTCTGGAGTATTGGGGCTGGTTCGGTTCTGAGGGTGTTCTTTCCCGGGGCTTCTGAAAGGGTCTCTTTACGGGCTTCCTTTTCTTGGTAGGGTTCTTGTGGGACACAGGGTGTTGGGATTAGACTTTCCGGGAGTTAGGGAAGAAGTGTTTCACTTTCTTAAGTCAGCCGGCTCTGAAGCCGTCAGTGTGGTTCAGAGATCCCTGTGCTTGGGTCTCTTCTTGCAGGGTTTAGGGTTCAGAGATCCCTGCGTCTAGGTTTCTTTCTGGGGTTTAGGGTTTAGGGTTCTGAGATCCCTGCAGAGATCTTCGGGCCCAGCTATCTCTGGGGCTTAGGGTCCCATTGTTTCTAACCCACAAAACCCTAAACCCTAGACACTAAATATTCTTAAGCCTCACCCGACTGGCGAGCCAAAATCACAACTAAGCCTTCCATAACCCTACTACAAGCCCCGAAAGTACCCCAAAGAAGGTATCAAGCTTGGAAGAAAGCCTCCGGCTTGGTGTAGGGTTTAGGGTTTAGGGTTTAGGGTTTCAGGGTTTCAGGGTTTCAGGGTATCAGGGCCGAGGCGCCAATGCCAGCCCATGCCGTCAAAGCAGGAGCCTCGATGCCATCCTTGGTTCTTGATCTCAGCCTCGGATTTCGGGTCTCAGGCTTTCGGATGTGAAGGTTATAACATCGGGGCCTTAATAATTAGAATAGGGTTTTCGTAGAAGTAGTTCTGAAGGAACAACAAGTGACAGCATTCCGAATCCGAACCCAGAAAGCCCCCACACTCGCCCAATCAATTCAGATTCCGCTCCAAAGCACCCAAGCTTGAGAAGTACTGGGGTTTGCGGCTGAAAAGTAAGTAATGTAGTTCATAGGGTTTAGGGTTTAGGGCTAATGTAGTTTATGTTTGCGGGAGTATATGATTATCAGTTACATGGAACCTTACGGCGGTTGGAGCATCCTTAACTAGCCTCTGAGCGCAGCCACCTACATGGTGGGATTTCCTGCTAAGCAAAGCCCATAGCACCCATAAGCCAGCAACCAGCGTTTAGGTACATGGGCACTCAAATTTGGCTGCAGCCTTATTATAACCCCGCTGCAACCCTCATCCCTGAACCCTAGAGACCCTAGGCCCTAGAGGTGCTGAACCCTGAACCCTAACTCTATTGGTAATTATTTAGGCCCCTATATTACGCCCTCAACTCTGCACCCCACAAGCTGGAGGCCAAGATCTCCGAGCCTCCGTCAAGGGCAGAGTCATGGAGTTCCTCCCATCGAAGCTGGTTGGGTTGACGATGAGCCTGGATGCCGGGTTGTTCGCGGGCTTTCGAACTTAGGGAATGTAGAGCTTATTGGGTTTTGAGGTTTTGGGTCAAGAGCCGGCGGGGATCAAGGTTCGGGTGCCAGAAGCTTAGCTTACATGCGATGGTTATGGAATCCTTAAGGGACGGGGTTCTCAGGGGGGTATATAACCCAGTAATCCCCAAGTCTCCCTAGTACTCCCTTAGGTTCCCTAGAGCTCCCGAAGACCCTCCCCCCTTGAGATGGCGTGAAGTTAGGGTTTGTGCTCGCCTGAGCAGTGCCTGCCTTTGCGCTACAGCGAGGAGTCCTTAAACAGGTGTAGTCTGTGATTCGGCTCACAGAACGCTCCTGCTTCGCAGGTGCCCCTAATGTCCGGTTGGAGGATCCGAGCCATAAACCGGGACGATCAGCAAAGGGAACTGCGGATGAGGGTCCAGGAAGCATGTAAAGCCTTGACCCTGAACCCTAACCTCAGAATGCTGGACTTACGCATGCAGGATTTTGTCGACGTGGGAGGCTTTCTAGGGCCCTACGATCGAAGAGCCGACCGATTCCGTGGGCGCATGACATAGACGTTCGAGGGTTGAGGGTTTAGGCTTTAGGCTTTGGGTGACAGGCAGGACGCACTATCCCTGGCAAAACATCTAAGCACAGTTTCCAAAACAAACATGGAACATCCTTTACAGCGTCTGAAGAGGGCTTCCAGAGACAAAGCGGTCCCCCATCGCAGTATCTCCCATTGTAAAGCCCCTCCGTAACAGACGAGTCCCTACAAGGTGGACTACTGGGCTCTGGATACTGTATGGTCTACTTACGATGCCAGGATCAGAAACCCTGTATACAGGCAAGGAAGCTCGTAGGGCCTCAACCCTAGAAACCGAACTGCCCCGGAACAGGAAACTTTTGTGCTCCAGGAACCCACTAAAGCATTCTAGCCAGAGCTCGAAGAAGCGAGCCGAATCAGATAGACTGTGTGCACTGCAGCCCACAAGCGACTAAGAAGATGTTTTGGGCTCTCATATCAACCACAAGACTCATTTACAGCACCCACGAATAAATGGGCTGTTGGGCTGTTCCACGCCGAAAATAACACCCGAGCATCAGCTCGACAATGCCGAATGCACTCGGGGAGCGTTGTGCCAAGAGCTGCCGTCTCATCCTGGCAAGTCCCGCCCGAGCTCAAACAAATCCATTTCCAGTTTGAGTGTGCCGAAACCCCAGCACAGAAGCCCTAGACAGCCCTAAACCCTAAACTCTAAATCCTAAACCCTAAACCCTAGACACAAACCCTAAACTCTAAAGCCATGTAGTAGGCTCTTTGTAGGAGATGGAGCAGCAAGGAGCTTTCAGGGTTGTAAGGTTTGGAGGGTTCTGGGGTTGAGGACCCACTTATCCATGAAGTGAAGGCCTCTTCCCACCCGGTTTAGGGTTTAGGGTTTAGGGTTTAGGGCTCTGTTCAGAATTATAGTAGAAGCCCAAAACTTGAAAACCCAATAGCCTCAACCCTTCAGAGTAATGTATAGGGAATCCAAGCACTATTTGTCCTTCATCCGGTTTCCAACTTTGTGGGGTTTACTATAGATCCTTGAAACTTACAGACCACCCAACACCCCGCGCCCCTAAACTGCAAGCAATCCTGAGTCCGGAACTCTAGAGACAAGCACCCAAGCTAAAAGCCCAAGCGGGCCCCACCATAGCCCAAAGGGCCTACCTCTACCCGATCCCCCTTGTGATGCGGAGCTAGTGCCAACCCGGGTTCTTAGAGTTTAGGATGCAAGACTGTCTCTACCAAGTAATAACTTCATGGCAGGCCGCGGCAAATTACTTCACACATACGTCCGACAAACGTCTCCAGGTTCCAAAACCAACTCGCAAGTTGTGCAGGCACGAAGACTCTGCATGAAAACCCCACAGCTTTCAATCGCAAGGCTACTAATTGTGAGTGCCTACTGCCACTCGGGATATTTCAGCTCTAAGCTGTATAGACCCTATATTATATGCCAGAAAACCGAGACCCCTAAATCCTAGTTCCACACTTGAACCTTGTGAACCCTGATTCTTATAATGACCCAAAGCCTATGCCCTAAAACCTGTGAACCCTGAAACCTGCAACTGCACCCTAAGCCTATCTGACCCCTACATCCGAAACACCGAAATCTAAATCGGACAACAACTATACATGAAACTCTAGAACCTATTAGCCCACTAAGCTTATCGGCGCTAAACCTCGTGAGAGGCTTCCGCCCACAGCAACTCGTATAGCAACCCTTATGCGAAGCCTTATCTTGGCTGATCAGTAGCTTACTGGGGAAATGCAAACAATGTACTTTTGGGGGCTAGTTATATTACAATAGGAACCCAAAGGCAACAACTCAAAAACATCTACCACAGAACAGCCTAGTTCTTCTAAACCGAAATGGGACCTAGGCGCCTTCTCCCCGGAACAGAGGATCGATCCAGAGCGAAAGGCCACGTCCAGGTTCGCCGTTGTCTCTTCGATGGTGCTCGGAGCCACCTGTGGTCTCTGTGACGATAAGGGTTCGATAAGCTCTGAGTCTTTAGGTGGGGATTCGGGTTTAGGGTGTTTCGGCCACCTTTAGTTTAGGGTTTGGCCAGGTATCTAAATTGCTTTGACCAGGTGGAGGGCTCTGGGGCTGGAGAATTTGGGCTTCATGGTTTGGTGGGGACTGGGGCTTCAGGTTTTGCAGTTTAAGCTTGCTCAAGCCTTGGCACCTGCAAGTGAGGGCTTTACGTTTCCTGTCTTGAGATTCAGAGATCAGGGCTTTACAGTAGGGCCACAAGACATCAAATGTCCCACTATACTTGTCCGCCTGAAACATGCAAGAATGAAGGAATCCCTAGTAAGTGGAGGCTGGAGGCTTGAAGAACACGCAAAACGAGTGCATGCATCCTTTGGATTACGCCTTATTCTTTCAGAACCTTCAGGAATTTGGTTTGGGGATCAGCGCTGCGGCGGACTCGTGTTCAAGGCTCTTGCTTTCAGCTGTGTTGTAAATCGGCAAGAGGGTTTGACGACTGCCCATCAACTTAGGAATAAGCGGAAGCCCGGTGACCGGACTCAAAATAATCCTTGCTATACCCTAAACCCCTAAACCCTAAACCCTAAACCCCAAACCAAGATAAGCGTTGAAGATCGGGGCTTTAAGCTCCTTAGGCCATGTCAACCACCCCAGGGGCGACTTGGGATTCAGGGCTTCTGGGTTTGAGGTTTGAGGGTTCGGTAGAGCCTTCAATCCTACCGCCCAACATGGGAGTTTCCGAAAATAAGGGGTACCTTATTATTTTGGGGGTCCTGAAAATAAGGATCCTACTATTTAGGGTACTATATTAGGGTCCTCTATTTTCGGAAACCCCCCATCCAGAACATCATGGAACCCTAAGAGACTCCTACTGGAAGCGTTAAGTTGCGGTTTCAGGCACCGGCTTGGCTGTAGCCCATTGCATCTGCTCCTCCGAAGGGCAGCGATGGCGAGGGCGGCATGGATTTAGGGTTTAGGGCTTGATGCAAGACTTTGGGATGTGGGTTTGGGGTTTAGAAGCCTACATCTGCAAATTGGAAATTACCCGCAATCACACACTCTCAACTGTAGGATCAAGATTCTAGGGTGCTGTGTTCAGGATTTCCTTCGGTTTTGCTGCTGGGACTTCGCAGCCACAAGATCAGTGTTGACGTAGACGATCTCCGAACCAAGGTGCGTTCCGGGTAGGGTTTCCTGGACCAATAAGGAACGATGACTTAATTAGGGTTTAAGGTTTAGGGCTTAAGGCTTAGATAGGCTTAGGGTTTAGGATATCGTTCGACAGTTTGGGTCTAGGGTTTAGCCCTCGAACCAGACGTTACGCTGCACTCCGGCCCCATCCAGTTGCCAGAGCATCTCTTGCTAGTGCATCCGCGGCCCAACCATGCCCAGCCATGAAAACGTCCCACAAACTCCGTCCGTTCCACAAAACATCCATGTGCCAACCATGATAACGTCTCCACAAACTCCGTCCGTTCCACAAAGCATCCATGTGCCAACCATGATAACGTCCCCACAAACTCCGTCCCTTCCACAAAACATCCATGTGCCAACCATGATAACGTCTCCACAAACTCCGTCCGTTCCACAAAACATCCATGTGCCAACCGGGATAACGTCCCCACAAACTCCGTCCGTTTCACAAAGCATCCATGTGCCATGACTTCACAAAAAACGCACACCAATTCATAGAGCCGAAATTCGGCTAAAATCAGCCTACCAAGAGCACATCACCAAAATCATCCGAGATGCACGGAGTCCCACGCTTGCCAAGCAAATCGACTTCAGGGCACTAATTTTTTAAAAATAGCCACCTTGACTTAACGACGTTTCTGCTGCTGCGACCCTGGGAAAGTGCTGCGCCTGCCAGCAAAAACGAGCTTCCGCTAAGCCGCTTGGAACACTGGCTGCGGCACAACGCCCGGTTCGAACGGGGTTTAGGGTTTATAAGGGTATCGTTCGACAGAGTGCGTGGTATTATTTGAGCAAGGTCGCTGGCTACTGCCAGATTGGAGGCTCGAGAAGGACTACTTGGTCTTGCAGGGATATGAGTCTTCGCTGCAAGGGTCCATCTACCCGTATACTATATTCCTATAAAGGGGTTTTTCTGTAGAAAACCTAAACTCTACCCATAGGCCCCATAGTAATTCCTTTTTGGGGTTCATATTTAGAATCCTATAAGGTAATCCCAAACAGGAACTACTATGGGGCCTATGGGTAAACTCTTTTTTTGGGACACTTCGGAGTTGGGCAGTCAGGTCCTTGGGCAACGGGTCGTTGCCACTGTAGCCCACCACGGTGATGCCGACCCCAGATGGCTGTCCACCTGGGCCCCTAAACCTTAAATCCCTAAACCCTAAACCCCTAAACCCTGAACCCTTAGACCCCTAAGCCCTGAACCCTAAACCCCTAAACCCTAAACCCTAAACCCTTAGACCCCTAAGCCCTGAACCCTAAACCCCTAACCCCAGATGGCTGTCCACCTGGGCGGCAAGAGGGGCTGCTGAAACAGGTAGGTTGCTTCCTACGGTCTTTCCTATGCTGCCAAGTTACCCTTCGTGGTGTAGAGCACAATCGGCTTGCTCTTGGTGTTCCCTGTCTCCTCCTCGGTCCATGCATAGCCCAGATGAGGGTCGCACCTGATTCGGGCAGAAAGTTGTGCGCCGCAACAGAACCGAACTCGAAGGAAGCAGTGCCCCCGTGGTGTGAGCAAGAAGAACATGAGAGAATGGAAAAACCTAAGCCTGCTGGTTCTACCGTTGACGAACGTTACTGAGAATTTTCAAAACGCTGACAAAGTGACGGCGTGTAGCAGCCAAACCTGATGAAGTACCTGTTCCTTTACGTTGTCACATGACAACAGGCGTCCAGGCCTTCGAAGTGCTCTCGACTGAAATACCCTGGTTCCAAGGAGCCCGAAACTTTGTGATCTTGAGCTCTAAGCCTACATTTCGCACGGAAAAGCCTGGCATTGAACCCCAAAGCCCTAAGCCCCTGTCCTGGACCCTGCACCGCATGGCAATAGTCGTCACAAATCTGCCGTTGTGTTTGAAGGGGGAGGGGGCGGCAGGTCCTCATGTTGATTTCCTACTCTTCTTTGTGGTCCCGTAAGAAAAATGTTGGCTACAGGAGGTCTATATTCAAATGATTATGCATGTACCGATGTCTGAATTGTTGCCTAAAACATACGATTCCATATCTCTCTCTCTCTATATAGATATATATGTATATACAGAGAGAGAGAGAGAAAGAGAAAGAGAAAGAGAAAGAGAAAGAGAAAGAGAGAACAACAAAACTAATTTGGGGGGTCGGGTCCATATCTCGAGTTCCTTCTATCCTTGAAAGGCCCGTGTTAATAAACTAAGAAGATGTTCGTTTTGAAAAAAAACAGGGTTTTATCTACACCCGTATATGTCTGTACATACATGTACTCTCTCTCTCTCTCTCTCTCTCTCTGTCTCTCCTCTCACTATATATATATATATACACACACGTAACTACACAGGCACACTGTATCCCCCCACCCCCCAGCCACCTCCAAAACAAAAACAAACTCCCAAGTTCGCTCGAGGGCGCTCCGCAGCATGCTTGTGCCATCCCTTGGATTTGAGAGCGTCCTCGCCCATTGGCAGCTCCTGGGTGCTCTTGCTAGGTAGTATTCTTAGGGGTACCCCTTAAAGGGTACCCCTTCTGAACCCTACTATATCCCCAAGGGTCCCCCAATCCTAGCTCCCACTTGCCGATCCTCTTTTCGGGATGAGGAACTTAGGGTTTAGGTCTAATCAAGATATGGGGCTCAAGACTTCAGTTCTTATCCTTGGCTATAGTTAAAGCTTTGAGGTCGGCCTTATGTTTCCCTGTATCGTACACAGCAGCGTTGAGCGTTGGGGGATTCGTGGCGCCGTGCTTGAGTTCCGTCTTGAGGGATTAGGCTCCGTTTTCGGATGGTTGATGAGTTCCGGCGTTTTTGGGGTTTAGTGTTTAGGGTTTAGGTTTTAGGGTTTAGGGGTGCAGCACGTCTCGCTCTTCAGAGTGCAAGAGTTTCAGGGTTTCTGGTCTCAGATGCAGGGTTCAGAGATGGGTGCGCTTTTCGACCTTGGACGGCCCGTGAATCAAGCCAATGTCTCAGACCGAAACCTTTATATAATTGTATGTGGCCATACTACAATACTACTATAAGATTACTATACCTATGAGTACAATAATCCCGTCATCTTGCTATAATTTGGAGACGGGTCCCATTCCGAGGACACCTCCCAGTGGAAATCGCAGAACTGTCAGAGCCTGCGGCCCTTGCAGTCGATATTCTCAGACACTCCGCTTCTCAGCCACTTTGCAAACATCTCGAGATCCCCTAAGCCTAAGATTCCTAAACTAGCATACCATGGATACGACACTATAAAGTTTAATACAATATACTATGCGACACTAAACAACATGGGGATTTCCGAAAATAGGGACCCTAATATAGTGCCCTAAATAGTAGGATCCTTATTATAAGGACCCCAAAATAAGGTACCCCTTGTTTTCAGAAACTCCCACATGGCTTCAATATACTATGATACGGTGACACGCGATGACCCCCAAAATTCAAGAAGGCTCGGTCCGAAGAGATGCAAAGTCCCCAAGAAGCCCTGCAGTCTTTCAGGTGTGTACTATCACAAGAGACCAAATTAAGGGTTTAGACTGCTTAGAGTTTAGAGTTTAGGTTTTAGGGTTTAGGGCCAAAGTTTAGGGTTTACAGTTTAGGGTTAAAAGTTTAGGGTTCAGACGCCTAAAAGCACTACAGTAACTTAGCTTGGCCCTCCTACCGAATGAAGCCCGGTGGCAGTGTACATCAGAAAAGTGCGCTCAAGGTGTTGACCTGCATGCCGGCCGTAAATCACTCAACCGAAAAGGGAAAGTTCGCATAATTCACTACAACCCACAGCCCTTTAAACTCGAGTGAGCTAGAAGACATTCGTCTGGAATCACAATAAAAGCGTGAACGCTGGTAACACCCATACCAAGCAGGCCTACCCCAAGAGGACTCGGAGCACAACTTGACGACCTACCTGGACCCTGAGTGAACCCTACAAGCGTCGGTTCTTTACGGTCCATGTAAGCCCTAGACCGACGAAGGTTAGTCTCCTGTCGTTCGTCAGCAAGCTCCCGAGATGACAAGGACTATCCACATAACATGGGTTTAGGGGTTAGCGTACAGGGCAATGAGAGGGGCATACAAGGGCTAGAAGGGGATACTGCTACGAATTCCTGAGGCCTCTGCATTACCTGCGTACTTGCACCATTCCTAAAAAGACCGAAGGGTCAGGTGCTCAGATTGACAGCCCTGTTTCCCGCATACTTCGTTTGTTTCGATTCGGAACCCTGAACCCTAATGAAACGACTAGGTTTTGGTTTTGTTTTGTTTTTATAATAAAATTACTGTAATTTAGATAGAAGAGATGTTATGTATAATGATGCACCAACAGAGGTAAAAGAAGTAAAGCCCTGAAGCATTCTAACCCTAAACCCCTCAAGCCCTAGAGCCTTCAAGCCCTGGAGGCCTAAACCCTCAACCGCAGACCCCATCCTAAACCCAAACCTCCATGGGGAAAAAACAGAAGGGTAGTTCTCTAAATTAGGGCGCTTTGTGGGTCCCCAAACTAGTACGGCACTTTTGCAAAAAGGGCCCTAGACCCTAAACCCTGAAAGGGACCCTAAGTTGTTCTTAAGGAGCCCTAAAACCCTGAACCCTAAACCCTTCAAGATCCCTTTAAGGAGCCCCAACAGGGACCTTAACTTCGAGAACTACGTAAAAATAAAAAAAAAACATCACCAACACCCTAAACCTTAAGCCCTAAGCTCCCTTGAAACCCTAAACCCCTAAAGATCCCTTTAAGGAACCCTCTAGATCCCTTTTCAGGATCCCTAAAAAGGGACCCTCACACC